TAATTATTAAAGAAGTTAGTTATTTATTTATTAGCCTATGTAATTAAAATATAGCTGAAAATAATTAAATAAGGCTTTAGGGATTTTTCTAGAATTTTCTAGATTTTTCCGGGGCTTTTCTGCAATTTCCGGCGAGCCTCCGGCGAGGATTCCGGCCACCGGCAGTGAAGAAGATGACCGGAGTGATCCGGTGTGATGCGGCGCATGGTAGGTTAGTGCGCGCGTGCATCCTGGCCATTGGTAGAGTCTGATTGATCCGGTGCATCGCGGTCCATGCTACCGCGGTACACCCGGATCCATGAGCACAGGATTGAGTGATGAGAGGGTGAGATGATTCAGTGTAGCGCACCCATAGTAGGATGATGCAACCACCGAATTAGGAGCCGCCACGTCAGCAAGTTACCATTAGTGCGCGCGTGGCAGCGCGTGCGCGCGTGTGGAACGCTCCAGACGCGCGTGGGAGCGCGTGCGCGCGCGTGGCTGATGCCAGACGCGCGTGGAGGCGCGTGAGAGAGTGGGAAAGCTTGGCGGCGCGTGTGGGGAGCTCTGGGAGGCGCGTGGGGGCGCGTGAGGGACCCCTACAGCTACTGGAAAAGTCCAGAATACCCCTAGGGACTGTTTTGTAAATTCCAGAACCTTAAACTTGGATTTTAGGTACTGTGTTGGTATTTACGGGTTTAACGGGCCACGAAATTATTATTTTAACACCCGTTACTTATTCTTATGGCCGATTAATCTTTTCTAAGCATTTATTGGCTCGTTTACAGTACGGATACTAATGTGATTTATTTAACGACATTGCTAAATATAAATAGTGTTTCAGATAAATTATCCATGATATTTTATGGGATGTTTATACTGTTAAATGATATATAAACCATGATTATTATGCTGTGTGCATTTCAGGAAATAAATGGACTGTTTAATTATGTCGCATTTATATTATATGGATGTGTTGCCATATAGAATCATATGAGCTGGCTAATAAGTTTAGACTCATTTATACCTTATGCATTCGTTGCGATAGACAGATGTGTGGCTGTCGGGGTAAGTGGTTTGATATTATTGGCATGTGTTGCCTAATTGACATACTCGGTATATTTATTAATATTGCTGGCATGTGTTGCCTAATTTGTATGCTCAGTATATTCATCAGTACTTTGAGAGGTGTTAACACTGTGTAGTTCGTTATAGTCTGTGTTGTCAGTACCGTGCACCATGTATAATAGCTGATTTCCCGGGTAGGGAAAAGCGACACTTAACCACCTAGTGTGAGTCTAAGTGATCACCGTCTATTCTAGTTGAGGTCATGTTATACATTGGATAGTTCCCTTAGGATGTATACAGATATAGTACTCAACCGATTCATAATGATTAATTTATTTGATTCTCTGATTTGGGTCATAGTAGAGAGGACTTGCTCGTGGGGTTGACCCACCATTGTTGTTATTTCAGGATACGGTCAGTATCCGTTTCAAGGTTGAGGTTAGCAGTGTGGGACCACCATCCGAACTCATCTAGTCTTACGATCCAGTTCAGGGTAGAAGTTTTATGTATTACTTCAGTTTCAGTTTTTATTTACTTTTGACGTTGAACTCTTAGGTTTATATTTAGGGATCCTTGATATAGGATTTCCAAGTTGTAATGGAGTACTGTATTTAAATAAAGGATGGATGGATGTTGTATTATTTAATATTTCTTTCCTGTCTAAATTCTTTTATTTCCATCACTTTGTATTCCATGCTTGTATATTGCCAATTGTTTTTGATATCCCTCGTTTTTCGTGTATAAGCCTGATCAACTTATGCGTGGAAAATGTGGGGGTGTTACAATAAGGCCCTACGCATGATTTAAAGAGTCTAGATTATAATGACAAGATATTTAATATTTTATTTTTTTTATACATTACCCCATGGCCTTCGATATTAAAACCATTATAATTAGATCTTCAAAAATAAGGCCCCACGCATAATTTGAAGAGTCTTAATATTACAAGAATGGTTGTCTCATAAAAATAAAAAATATTAAATGTTAATTGTAATTAGATCTTTAAAAATAAGGCCCTACGCATGATTTAAAGAGTCTAGTTTATAATGACAAGATATTTAATGTTTTATTTTTCATTGGAGCATTAATAATGTTATACACTCAATCTAAAATCAATAGTGTTAGCTCCCCAACGGAGTGGTCTACACTAGGTGATTTTAGAAAAGTTAAACATAATCGAGAATCATTTCATATAGATAGACAAGGCATTGTCTTAAAAGATATGGAAATGATGGGATTTGCCCGCCAATAGCAATAATGAACTTCGCCAACTGAATAAGTTATTGGCGTGTTGGTTATCCGATTTTTCATGCAGTGGTTAAGGAACCCACATATTATTATTTTAATGGAAGTGTTCACCTAATAGCAAATGAATCCCAACAATAGTAATAATGAACTCCTATATCAGGATAAGTTATTGATGTATTGATTGAATGATTTATTATGCTACGGAGTTGAGGACCCACATTAATTAAAAGGTAATGTTCACCAATAGTGATAATGAAATCTTATTCTATTGAGATTTATTATACTATGTGGTTGACAAAATCAATTTAATTTAAAATATGTATGATAACATTAATAATTTACCTTGCATATTGTATGAACGCATTTATATTCAGATTTATTATGTCTAATCCATTTTTCCTGCTTGCTAACATATTCAATGTAATTGGAACTCATTTATACAGATTGGAAAAGGAACTTAGATATTTTATTCATAACGTAAGGGTACAAAATGTATTTAATACTCTTCTACCTAATTCTTTTACTTTAAGATACCCAATGAGATGTTTTGGTGAGATTAGATAGATTATATACCTAAGTACTATGTCAAATTTAAATACCATCAAGATAGCCTAAGGATCTCCAGTAAAAGATCGAATTTTGGAAAAATGATTGTTTATTATTTAAAAATTAAACTGGAGGTCAATAGGGCTGACTTGGGTGGTAAGTTTCAAGTTAACATGATTATTGCCTTGTTACCAAACTCGTTCGACTCTTTTAGAGTGAACTAAATAACGAATCAGTTTGAGTTACACTCACTGATATTCTTATAAAATTGGTAACATATGAAGGGATAATCAAAAGTATAAGCATTCCTATCAATCTAACCTAGTCTATACCATCTTCTTCTAGGCCCAAATGGAAGGGCAAATGAAAAAAGAAGGATGACTATAGGACTAGGCTAGCACAAAACATGGGGATCCAAAAGGTTAAAGGTAATAAGGTAGTGTAAGTTGAGGGCGAATAAAACTATTTCTTTTGCGGCCAACCAAGATACTCAAGGAACGAACTATCTAAGCAACGCCATGGCATAGGAAAATATGTATTTAATCATTGAGTCATGTTATGTGGTTGTATCTATTAATTCCTGATGGATAGATTCTGGAGCCACTAAACATGTTTATAATTCATTGCAAAGATTTCAAGAATCTAGAAGTTTTGATAATATGGATATATATTTGTCTTTTGACCTGATGCCAAGGTTGTAGCTAAATCAGTGGGAGTATTACATCTGAAATTAAAGAGTAAGAGGATACTAGTATTAGAGAACTATCTTTATGCACAGATGTTAGACACAATCTCATTCTTGTTTCACTTTTAGTTTATAACTGATAAGAATAATCTTACACGTGGCGCTCGCATAGGCTCTCTTCCAGATTCGATATTATCCTTATCTATAAGGGTTGGTGAGGACGCTGGGCTGGGCCACACAGCTTGGCCTAAAGTTGATTTGGGCTGGAAGAGTTATGGGCAAACTAAAGCGTTAAGGTTCAAGCTTGATATTGGGCCTAAGCTAGCCCACACTAAAAGACAGATTTTTAAAGGACCCAACTCATTTTCTGTTGCAGTTCTTAACGAATCAGATCCAAGGAAAGCCCAGGTTCAAACTCAAGCCCAAAATCTAGCTCTCTCTTCTTCTTCATTTCAGCGTCGAACTGAGAAAGAAAAGCGAAGACAGCCGGTTGTCTCAGCTAGTTGACCTCGATAGACACATACTGAAAAACAGAAATGGGTAGTACGCTCTCTTTCTCCTTCTCTAGGTCTGACCTCTGTCTCTCATCCTAAGTGTTCATCTTCTACCTTTTCTACGAGTAAGGTGTTGGGAAATGGTGAAGGTGGAGCGGAGGATCGTTTGGATCAAAAGAGAGATTTTTCTGAAGCTATTATACCACGGGTTTCCGAATCACTGTCTTCAATGACCAAGTCTGAAAGTATTGAGTGTTCCAACGGGGTAACAGTTTGTGTTAGACGAGACCTTCATTTTAAGCTGACAGATGATTTAGCCATGACTTTACTTAATGAACTTAAGCTCTGTGTTGCTTTAAAAGGCTTGAATGGCCTACCCTCCATGACTGGAACGAATTCTACCCATGATTTTATGATAAATTTTATGGATGACCCTAGAACAGAGTTGAATCTGCATTTAAAATTGTATCAGAACAGTGGTGAAAGCAAAGGGGAGGACTTTGATGATCAGTCTCAACAGATTTATCCTCTTGCTTGTGATATTGATCAATCTGATGTGGACATTATGGAACCCTTAACAACTGTGCACCCTGATTGCTTAGAGATGGTTAATGATTTAGGTATGGACTGGGTGTTAGATAATATTGGCGAGGTCAACGAAGCTTTGGGTGTCTCATCGGAAGGAGATGATGATCGAATATAAAACATTCTTCATGATATTATGGTAGGAAATAATAATGCAGAGACCTTTAAACACCAAAAGCTGTTAAAAATAGAAAACATGCAAATCGGAAAGGTGATCAGGAGGTTAAGAACCTTATTTCCAATGTTAATTATGAAGGGACGGATGGGGTGAATAAAGAGATGGGCAGGACTAGAAGTAGGAAGCAAGGAGGAAGGGCACTAATTATTTTCGATTCTTAATGAAGATACGAATTATTACATGGAACGTCCGTGGATTAAATGATCTGGACAAAAGAATGGTGGTTAAAGTTGCTTTGAAGAAGTGGAATGCCCATATTATTTGTTTGCAAGAAACTAAGTTGGCTTCTATTTCTGTTGATATGGTTAGAAGCCTTTGGGGAAGTAAGTGTGTGGATTGGGAAGCCTTGAACGCCTATGGTACATCAGGCATTATTCTTATTATGTGGGACCGTAGATGGACGTCCAGAACGAATATGGAAAGGGCTATTCTCATTGTCTTATGTGTTTCAGATGGAAGATGATAACTTCAGTTAGGTTTTTTCTGGAGTTTATGGACCCGTTATTGATTGTGATAGACCTGTTTTTTGGCAGGAGCTCAGTTACATTAAGGAATTGTGGTCGTTGCCTTGGTGCTTAGGCGGGGATTTCAATTCTGTTCGGTCTCCATTTGAAAGATCCACGGGGGGGAGGTGGTCTTCAGAGATAACCCAGTTCTCTAACTTTATTGATGGTAACCTTCTTATTGATTTGCCTTTGGAAGGTGCAACTTTCACTTGGTCTAGCGGCAAAGACCCAGTTACTTTATCGAGGCTTGATAGATTCCTGATTTCTGGAGATTAGGAGGAGAAGTTCCCGGACGTCACGCAGTCAGCTTTGGTTAGAGTCATGTCTGATCATGTACCCTTAGTTCTTGATTGTGGAGGTATGAGATCTAGACGGACTCCATTTCGTTTCGAAAATATGTGGTTAAGAGTTGAGGACTTCCAGGGGAAGGTCCAGTCCTGGTGGGAGGCAACAACTTTTACTGGCTCTACTAGCTATGTGCTTGCTAAGAAGTTTCAAATTCTCAAATCTGAGCTTAAGAAGTGAAATAAAGAAGTGTTTGGTAATTTTGAATAGAAGAAAAATAGAGTCCTGACTGATATCGTAGAAGTTGATCGTCTTGATGAGATAGGGCAAAATACTAATTCTGTACCCTCTAAAAGAGCGTCTTGTCAGGCGATTTTTGCTAAGATTGCTATTATGGAGGAGATATCGTGGCGGCAGAAATCTCGGGCTTTGTAGCTTAAAGAATATGACTGTAATACTAAATTTTTTCACAGACTTGCTAACGCTCATTAAAGATACAATAATATTAGGCGTATTCGTGTGAATGGTACAGAGTTGTGGAAAGAAGATGAGGCGCGTGGGGGTATTGTTTCTTTTTATCAGCAGCTCTATACTGAGACTTTGGAATAGAGACCAAAACTTGATGGTTTACATTTCGATTCTATTTCTAGCTAGATAGTGATATGCTTGAGGTTCTGTTCTCTGAAGAGGAAGTTCTTAAGGCGTTATCCAGTTGTAATGGTGATAAAGCTCCAGGACTAGACGGATTCACTATGTGGTTTCTTATAGAGAGCTGGGAGGTGGTGCGTAATGAGGTAATGGGCACTTTTCAGGAATTTCATTCTCATGGCATATTTGAGAAATCATTAAATGTATCTTTCATTGCTCTTATTCCTAAGAAGAGCAACGCCTCTGACATTAAGGACTTTCGGCCAATCAGTTTAGTGGGGTGTATGTATAAGCTTATTGCTAAAGTCCTTGTTCTTAGAATGCGAAATGTTTTGGATGGAATCATTTCAGAGTCACAAAATGCTTTTGTTGGCGGTAGACAGATTTTAGATTTCGTTCTTATTGCAGGAGAATGTGTTGATTTCAGGTTGAAGAGTGAAGTTCCTAGTATCTTATGCAAACTTGATATCGAGAAAGCTTATGATCACGTGAATTGGAAATTTCTTCTTTACTAGAGATGTTGCTAACTAGATTGAGATATCCCATTTGTTGTTTGCAGATGATACTTTGGTTTTCTGTGATGCTGATGTTTCCCAACTCATGTATTTGAGGTGCATTCTTATATGCTTCCAAGCAGTGTCTGGTCTTAAGATTAATGTTGGAAAGAGTGTGCTTATCCTAGTGGGGTAGGTCTCTGATATCTCCACCTTAGCTACTGTTCTTGGGTGTGGAGTGGGTGTTTTTTCACTCCCTTATCTAGGATTACCTTTGGGAATTTCCTCCAGGATAGTGGGGACTTGGGATCCGGTGATTAACATGTATGAAAAAAGATTGGCGGGTTAGAAAAAACAGTACCTCTTGAAAGGGGGGATGGTCACTCTCATTAAAAGCACCCTTTCATCCCTTCCCATATATTTCTTATCTTTGTTTTACATCCCGTGCTCTGTTGCTGATCGAATCAAAAAATTTCAGAGAGACTTTTTTTGGGGTGGTAAAGGAGAGGAGTTTAAGTATCATCTTGTTAATTGGGAGCAGGTTTATAAATCGTTGAAGTTTGGCGGTTTAGGTATCCGGAAGTTGGTCCCTTTCAATAGAGCCTTATTGAGGAAGTGGTTATGGAGATTCGGTAAAGAGTGTCATCGTCAATGGAGAAGAGTTATCTCGTGTCGTTTTGGGGAGGAGAGTGGAGGTTGGTCCTCCCGTCTTGTTTCTGTTACCAAGGGCGTTAGCGTTTAGAATTTCATTCAGAAAGGTTGGGATGTGTTTTCCACCCATATTCAGTTCAAGGTTCGAAATGGTAGGCATATTAGATTTTGGGAAGACTTATGGTGTGGTGATCAGTTGTTGTCTTTTTCCTTTCCTCGTCTTTTCAGCATTGTCGAGAATAAGCATGCTTATGTAATTGACTGTTATCATCTTGATAACAATGGAGTTACGTAGGATGTGCGGTTTAGGCGTTCTTTTCAGGATTGGGAGATAGCTGAAGTTTACGTCTTTTGGGACCTGTTGTATAGACAGAAGGATGTTGGCAGAGGTTGTGATGATATTTTGTGGACCCTCTCTCTTCATGGTAGATTCGAAGTTCGATCCAAGTTCTTGTGTTTATCTAATTTTATTAGACATGATTTCCCATGGAAGTGTATTTAGCGATCTAAAGCTCCTCTTAGAGTTACCTTCTTTGTTTGGACAGTTACCTGGGGAAAAATTCTAACATTGGATAATTTGCGTAAGAGAGGTACTATTATTGTTAACTGGTGTTGCCTTTGTAAATCTGATGATGAGTCCGTAGACCATCTCCTTATGCACTGTCCTGTTGCAATTGATTGCTGGAACCTCATATTCGGCATTTTTGGTGTTCAGTGGGTAATGCCTAAGCACTCTTTCCAATTAATTAATGCCTAGAGAAGATGCCCTGTTTCTAGTCACGCTTGTGATTTTTGGAGGATCGCCCCACATTGTGTTCGGTGGTGTATTTGGAGAGAGAGAAATAATAGACACTTTGAAGGGAATGAATCGCCTTTTGCAAATCTTAAGTCTCTTATTCTACGCTCTCTTTTCTGTTATGTTAGAGGCAGCGTTTGCTCCTCGATTGATGATTTTTTTGTTTTATTGGACTCTATTGGTCCATAGATTTGGTTTCTGCTTTTCGTTTTTCTGTATTAGGGATGTGTTCCCCTTTTGAATATTTTTCTAATATATCTTACTTATCAAAAAAAATTGTTTCACTTTTGGTTTATAAAAACTGTGTTGTTATTTTGTAAAACTGGTTTTATAAAATTATATAGATGTGCTATTGCTTCTGGTGCATTGAAAGATGGTTGATATACTATAACCACAAGCTCTTAATATTTGCAGGATATAAAAACTAATGTTGCATCTTCTACATTGAATGTTAAGAGAATATTTGTTATTCTGGACTCATTGTATTTTTAGTGTCTATTTTTGGGTTGTAATCAGTCAAAATGCGATTCAAAGATTGGTCAAAGAAGGTTTATAACCTAGTGAGGATAGGGAGCCTAAACCAACTTGTGAATCTTGTATTGAATGATAGAGAACCCTAAGGGCTTTAATCAGCCAAATGAAATAGACTTAAAGAACAATTGGAGTCAGTACGCACTGACACGTGTGGTCTTATGAACATCCAAGCAAGATTACTCACGTTTTGGATAAATTTACCTGATGCAACACAAGTCTTAAATTTTTGGTATATTCTGAAAGTGTCAAGACTGATGTGGAGCACAGATTAGGTAAACTTATCAAAACACTTCGATCTGATCATGGATATGAGTATTTCTTAGGATAGTGCAAAGATTATATGGTCAATGAGGGTGTTGTGTACCAGTTTTTCCGTAATTGATGCTAAATGAATTGAGGTGTCAAATAGGAATAACAGAATTTTGCTTAACATGACTAGATATATGATCAGTTATGCTACATTATCTCTTTCATTTAAGAGTTTAGCGTTAATGATATCGATGCATATTATGAACTGCATTCCATCTTAGTCTGTCTCAAGGATACCGTTTAAGCTATGTTTTTTACTAAATCTTAGTTTGAATCACATGCACATATGGGGTAGTCTTACACATGTGCACTTGATATGGACAAGTAAGTTGGAAGCAGATCACAAGCATGCTTGATTTGATGGCTACTCTAAAGGCACTAGGATGGATTATTTTATGATCTCAATGATAAAAGTTGACAGTTTACACTCACTATTTATCCATAGGAGGATCATATTATGAATTACATACCTAGTAGCATAATGTTAGAGAATATGGTATGAGTACCAGATGTACCACAAATGAACACACTTATTATAGAGATTAAGAATTATATATGAATTCCCTATTGATGCGTCAACATCATCTAGTACACAAATTTTTACATCGGTACGTTGATGTAGTGGGAGGATTATCATCCAATCCGATAGAATCATGTTTTTAGGTGAGACCATTATAGACATCCCTGTTAAACATGAGTTGGACCCAATTAGCTACACGGAAGCATGAACCGATATGAAAACAGATCGTTTTGGCAAGTTGTTATGAAATCAGAGTTGGAATCTATGTATTCTACTAAAGTCTAGGATCTTGTAAAACTTTCTAGTAGGGTGATACTTATGGAATGCAAGTTAATCTACAAAAGGATACCAGAAGATTTCTTAGTGAATGAACCATGTGTATACAGGGTAATATAATTATTTTTCCAATTATATATATTGATGACATCCTACTCATTTATAATAACGTGGAAGCTTTGTCATCATTAAAGAGGTAGTTGTTCAATTATTTTGAAATGATGGATCTTCAAGATGTAAGCTATATTCCTAGAATCAAGCTTATGTAAGATCAGATAAAAAGGAAAATATGTTTATCTTAATAATCCTACATTGATAAAGTTTTGACCAGGTTTGGTATGCAAAACTCAAAGAATGAGTTCTTGTGTTATTGACATGGATTGCTCTCTCTTATATAAGTAGTTATCCGAGACTAACCGAGGAGATTGAGCAAATAAGACTGAAACAATATGCTTCGGCATATGGGAGTCTCATATACCAAATAGGACATCCGCTACATGGTAGGAATAGTCAATAGATACCAGTCCATACTCGGACTTGATAACTGGTCTGTAGTGAAAAATATCATTAAATACCTTAGGAGAACCAAAGATCTCATACTCATTTATGGATGTGATAATGTGATTCCAGTCAGGTATGCTAATTCTGATTTTAAATCAGATGTAGATACTATAAGGTTCATGACTTAGTGCATATTCACTCAATGGATTGTTAAGCAGATTTTAAACTGTTGACTCAAATCTGAAAGTAGAGTACATTGCAGCCTGAAAGGCAGCAAAGGAAGTTTTCTTTTTGGTTTGATCTCACTGATTTAGAGGTTATGGAGCTTACTAGCCTGCCTATCGAGCTATATTGTGACAATATTGCAGAAGTAGTCCAAACCAATGACCCAAGGTTCCATAGAGGAACAAGGTACACTGAGAGGAAGTATCATGTTCTACATGATATCATCCAGCATGAAAATGTACTCGTGGCTAGAACATTGCATTAGAACATAACTTTGTTAATCCAT